GGGGTGGGCATGGGGTAAGGAACAGCTAATGGATGGGGGTGTCTTATGCTAGTTAAGGGGTTCCACCTGCGCTCACCGCAAAGTCAGGTGCCTGGTGTGCTTTTCCCTGGCCCAGCTGGCTGCTCAGGAAGGTACTAAGGTTCTCTCCCAGAGTCCTTTGCAGGCAGGAAACATCTTGTACTATCCCAGGTCCTCTCGGAGGTTGCTAGGAGCAAGGGAGCAGGCAGGGGCAGGGAGTGGCTGCTTCAAGGGATGGGTGTTCCTTGGGGGTGAGGCCAATGCCTTAGAATTAGCTAGAGACCGTGTTTAGCACCGCCTGGTCTGCGCACTAAGTGGGACTAAGGACTTCCCCAGGGAGGGGCCCTGAGGGAGAGTCTCACCACGAGTGAATGCCAGAGGGAAGGGGGGGTGGCGGGGGGCACGGAGGCTGGAAAGACAGACATCAGTGTCCCCAGCTCCAGGGCAATAGGGAGCCCTGGGAGGGGGTGAGAGTGGGCCTGGCCATTCATCCAGGTCCCTGCCTTCAGGAGATCTCTTTAATGACATTAACAATGGAATTTCAGGGCCTGCACAGACAGGGTGGTTGAGAGGAAGTTGATGGGGACCGCAGCAGTGTCTAGGTGAAGCTGAGCGAAGCCATTGTCTCTGGGGGCTGTGGGCCAAGGGCCCGGGGAGGGGAGGGTGTGGCTGAAGTGGCCAGGCTGGCCAGACAGAGCTGCTCTGTTCTCCGATTCTCTGGTACTGCAGCTTTGGGGTTCATGAATTTTTCAGGCAAATAGGCCTCGAGTTTCAGATTCCAGGGCATTGGGCCCTGGCTTTGGGGTTCTGTTTGCTGCCTAAGAACATTGGACCGAGGACCCAAGGAGAGGAGGGTCCTTGCACCCCCTGGGGGGCTTTCTGAGCAGGGGGCAGGAAGGAGGGCTGAGGCGCCCCCTCTGTTGGACAGAGGCAACAGGAAAGCTGGCTGGCTGGTATTGTGTGACACTCACAAGCTCCCTGAGCCTGAGTTTTCCCAACCTTCAACTTGAGATCATGCCAAACATCACTCATTGTCACCAAGTCATTGGTCCTAACTCACATAGGAACCCCTAGACGGGGTTTCTGAGACTGCAAATCTCTCTCTCTTTTTTTTAGCAGTTTTATTAGCATTTCATCCACATGTCATACAATTCAATAATATTCAGTCATATCTACCAAGGGCTCAAGTAGAAAGCAAATGTTTTGAAAATGATGATGGCAACATATGTACAAATGTGCTTGATACAATGGATGGATGGATGGATTATGATAAGAGCTCTACGCCCCGAATAAAATGATTTAAAAAAATAATTCAATCATATCAAGAAGAGTTCTATAATTGTCATCATATTCAATTCTAGAACATTTTCTTCTCCCTTGTACTCATCATTATTCATGTTACAGTTTTTCTAATTGTGGCAAAAATATGCACCCTAGAACATCCTCCAATTCCGCAATATCTCCTAGTATAATCGGGTGTCACTGATGATCCCCTTTGCATTGTACAACCTCGATTGATACCCATGGACAGTGCCCAATGCCCCCTAAGCAGCACCTCTTTTCACCCAAGATCACTGTTGGGCAACTTTGCTTTTTTAATTTAAAGTAGTGTTCTTGATACGGTATTCACAGATCAAACACTTCCATGGTTAAATCACTTTTAAAATGAATTAGATGTGCATCATCACAATCAGTTCTAATGTTTCCTCCCCCTTCCTGCATTCATTGTTTGTTTCCCCAAACCCCTAGTGTGGGGGGAGGTCAGATGCGCAGGCATTCCCTCCCCTGAAGGCAATCAGTTGCCAGACTGCT